TATGTAATTTCACAGTATTTTCACCTCCTAAATTACTACACTACTTGTGCAGTCACGATTTTATAATGGTACAATTTACTCAAGCCGATGACTTTTTTTAAATTATTTTTAGAATAGGTTAAGCAAAACAAATCTGATTATTTCTGAGAACTTTTTAACTGCAGGCAGACTTTATGGTACAGTAGGTCTACAAATATTTTGTTGGAGATATGCGAGCAAAAAATAATAAATTAAAAATGTATAATAGAAAGTGCAAATGCGGCGCTGAAAAGGCCAGTAAAATAATAATAACAAAAAAACAAGGCTGTAGAAAAATATAATGAATTACAAGTCTGTAGAGAACAGTGCGCTATTGCAGACTTATAGAGGCTACTGACGTTTTAATTACATTATTGTAATAGCTATAGTCAGTCGTGAACTAAAGTGGGCCGCTCTCTAAGGCATGAAACTCCAGGGTTGAAAATGACTCCCACTCCGGCCCTGGCCTGGAGTCACAATCACACATCAAAGAAGGAGATGATTTGTTTCTGAGAACTTTTTAACTGCAGGCAGACTTTATGGTACAGTAGGTCTACAAATATTTTGTTGGAGATATGCGAGCAAAAAATAATAAATTAAAAATGTATAATAGAAAGTGCAAATGCGGCGCTGAAAAGGCCAGTAAAATAATAATAACAAAAAAACAAGGCTGTAGAAAAATATAATGAATTACAAGTCTGTAGAGAACAGTGCGCTATTGCAGACTTATAGAGGCTACTGACTTTTTAATTACATTATTGTAATAGCTATAGTCAGTCGTGAACTAAAGTGGGCCGCTCTCTAAGGCATGAAACTCCAGGGTTGAAAATGACTCCCACTCCGGCCCTGGCCTGGAGTCACAATCACACATCAATTGTTCAGATGATTTGTTTCAAGACATTTGACATGTTTCCATCCTGAAATCTCGTGGGTGTTGAACTAGCTACTTTTTTACGCCGTTGCAAATTCCAAAACGTCATTTTAGAGCTAATAACAGAGGCTTGAGCCATTGATATGCAGGCTAATGCAGTTATTAATGCAGTCTAACGCAGTTATTAGAGAGAGAGAGCGAAAGAGAGAGGGAGAGATTAAGTGCGTGTGAATACTTGCGTCTGTGCTGTGCGTCTCTCAGCAGTATTCAGCAGCAGCGTCTACTAGCGAATCTTTAAGTTTAACTGCTTCAAGAACCTTGCTACTGAGAAATGTCATGCAGCTTTTCATCTGCGAAACTCTTTATTGATAAATTCGCAGGGCAGCCGCAGCGCTGATGACAAGTTTCTGTTCGCGTCTTCGCGTGTGTGCGCGAGTGCTTGTGTGTGCGTGTGTGAGAGAGAACGGGAGAAAGAAAGCGTGATTTCCGTAGGCCTACATAAAAAAGGTTGAAGACATGGAAATAGTTTGTCATTTTTACCCTATTGTTTGTTATATTTATTTGCTCAATGTCTTCTGGGGTTTTGGTTCTTTTACTGTTGTAGATATCCCATAGTATAACAAAAATATTATATATATTTTCATTGTGTTTGGGCCCCCCTTGGACGAGCAAGCATAGGCACGTGACTAGAATGCCTATGTGTAAAGCCGGCCCTGCCTGTGAGTGCATTTGAAGAAGAGCGTGTGTAACCCCTGTCTCCCGGGTCCTCACCGCCACACCTCGTTCTTGTTCCGAGTGGGTCTCCGGCATGGGAGGCAGACGCACTAACAAGGAGGCTAAAGACTACAGCCCCTAGCGTCAGTCGCTAGTGCATCTCTTGAGATCAGTGGAGTGAGGTTTACCTGCACAGCACTTACTCGTTGGCCTCCGTTACACGTGGACAAATTGATTGGGCATCGCTTAAATCTACTGAAAATCTGGAAACTGCACATACAATTTTTATAGAGATAAAAAACGTAAGGAATAAATACACAAAATTTGTTGAAAATAGGCATAGAAAGAATCATTTATCATGGATTAATGAAGGTATGGATTAAAAAACTTGCTAGAGGATCAACTTCTTTTTAACAGTTTAAGAAACAAGGTTAAGACAATATGGCAGGCTAAGCCACAATTTTTTTTTGTAATATTTTAAACGAGACTAAAGGTAATAGTAAAAAGGTATGGCAAACTATTAATCAATTGATAAAAAGAGTCTATCTATATCATGTAATAAATGTTTAAAATTAGATTTTTAAGGAAGAATAATAATTGATAAACCTGAAGAAATTGTAGATATATTTAACAATTTCTTTGTTGACTCAGTTCAAAGTTTGACTGATAATTTTGAAATAAGAGATATAAAGAAATTAATTTTGTTAATTCAGTAAAACCTGCTTTTCAACAGTTTCTGAGCTTACAATTCAGAATATTATAAAATATTTAAAAAATTCCAATGCTAAAGATATATATGGTTTAGATAGGCCTATAAAAAAAACAACAAAAAAATACAATAGTGATATTTTTTAGTACCAATTACTTATTTTGTTAATTTATCAACAATCTACATTCCCAAATTGTTGGAAAACTGGGTTAGTTACCCCAGTTTTCAAGGGCAGATGATCCAACTAATGTGTCAAATTATAGGCCGATTTAAATTTTATCAGTAGTGTCTAAAATAGAAAAAGTAGTAACTGAGCAAATTGTGAATTTTTTTAGATACATGAAATAACTTATTGTGTCCTTTGCAATTTGGTTTCTGTAAACAGCATTCAACAGAAACTGCTGTATGCTATTTTATTGAGCAAGTCAAAATTAGACAAGGGTGGGGTTGTGGGTGCTGTGTTCCTTGATTTGCAAAAGGCATTTGACACACTAAATCATAATATCCTATGATCTAAATCAGGGGTGGCCAACGTCGGTCCTGGAGAGCCACAGTCCTGCAGAGTTTTGCTCCAAACTTGCTAAAACCTCACCTGCCTGTATAGGTTTCTAGTAACCCTTAGACCTTGATTACCTTGTTCACATGTGTTTGATTAGGGTTAGAGCTGAAGTCTGCAGGACTGTGGCTCTCCAGGACTGACCCTGGCCACCCCGATCTAAATTATTACATTTTAACTTTTCAGAAGATACAATGAAATGGTTTGAGTCTTTTCTTACATCAAGAATACAGTGCACCTGGATTAAAACACATATCTTCTTTAAGAGACTGTTCCACAGGGGTTAACCCTATTTTTAGATTGTACTTGAATGACTTTCCAGATGTTTGTCCTGATGTACATATTCAAATGTACGCAGATGACACTGTGATTTATGTATATAACAAAACAAAAGAACAGGTGGCACAAAAATTATCTAATGCAATGTCGAAAATTTTAGACTGGCTTACTCAGTGTTGTGTAACATAAAATGTTTGGAAAAGTGCCTGTATGTATTTTAAAACCAAAAAGAAGGTGGAGGTCCAACCAGATATAATAGTTAATGGTGGAAAATTACAAATTGTTCCGGATTTTAAATATCTTGGGAGTTATTTTAGACTCTCATTTAACTTTTAAAAAGCACGTTCAAAAAATAGTTTGTGCAGTGACACCTCAACTTAGAATTGTTTTTATTTATATGGAGTCAACTTTCAATAGAAGCTGCAAGAGTCTTTTTGCATCCTTTGATCTTTTCTCATTTTTCCTATTGTATTCATGGTCACAAGCAGGAAAATCTCCTAGACCTTTATACACCTTATATAAACGTGCTTTAAATGTATTTGACAAGAAACCTAACAGATATCATCATTGTTTTATAATTAAAAAGTGCTTTTTTTTTTTTACTTTTGACAATTTTATGTTTTACAATTGTTGTTTAATGTACAAAATTGTTTATAACCTTGCACCCTCACCCTTGAAAGAATTAGTTTCTTCACGTACTGAAAATATAAGACAAACAAGAGCTTTGTCAAGAGGTGACTGTGAAGCGCATTTTAGAGTTACTGATTTACTGTTTAAGTTACATTTGAAAATATGGTTAAAGATGAGTCAGGTTTGTGACCATTGAATATGCCTGTGTTTTGAAATTATTACATAACTTTGGGAGTCTCATTTTGTTTTTTAAATAATTTTCATTATAGGGTGTTTCAGATTAAATTTAGCCCTGTAGCTAATTCTGGGGCAGTCTTTGACTGTCCATTGTCCCTGTTAAATATATATATTTTTAAATTAATTAATTAAATAAATTTGATTAGACCATCAAATATTTCTTTTGCACAAAAAGGTTCTTTGTAGAAAAATGTTTATATATATATATAGAGAGAGAGAGAGAACATTTTCAAAAGATGCTAATAAAAAAAATGATAATTTCAGAACCTGTCAGTGAAGGTGTAAGCAAAAAAAAAAGTTCTTCTGCAGCATGACTGTAAAAACCTCTTTTTGATTTTCCAGGCACTCCTATTGTTAAAACTATGTAAATATACTGGGAACTCAGTATGAGGAAGAGAAGGACTATGCTATTTGCATGTTCAAATAATAAACTAGAAATTCTCAATTGTCCTAGCTTGTTTTCTGGAAGGAAAAGAGTTGAGACAACTATCTATTTACAAATGGTAAATATTTATTTAAACAAAAACACTCTATCACTGAGACACAGGAAAACCACTGGGCCAAAGCAAACAAACTCTATTAAAACAAGAACAGACAAAGAACTGAGCCAGCCTGGGGGTATAAAGCAAATGAGGAAAGAGACACATTGCAAATGAGGAAACTGAGTCAGACTGGGGTTTCAATACACAGGGCAAATGAGGAAAGAGAACGGTGGGGCTAATTAGTTAACAAACGAGTAACAATAGTAATAGTAATAATATAATAGTAAAAATGAGAACCTGCTTATAAACAAAGAAAACGAGACACATTGCAAATGAGGAAACTGAGTAAGACTGGGGTTTCAATACACAGGGCAAATGAGGAAAGAGAACGGTGGGGCTAATTAGTTAACAAACAAGTAACAATAGTAATAGTAATAATATAATAGTAAAAATGAGAACCTGCTTATAAACAAAGAAAACAAAAAGGAACTAAACAGAGTGGATGTGACAACTTGACACTTTCTTGTCAAACTGGGTGACTGGGAGGCAGTTTTATGTTCAGCTGCATTAGTGACTGAAAACTGGTATGCATCCATATTTTAGTTTCCAGAATTGTTTTTATTTTTATTACCTTAAACATAAATAACTCACTGGGTAATATTTAAATATTATTAAACATAATTAAATATGTTTTTTTACAAAAAAAGTTATGTGTCCCAAGTATTTTGCTTGTAAATTTGAAAGTGATTAGAAAAACTCCATAAATCAACAATCAAATTTGATCATTATGATTTTTTCAGTGAAGATGCGATTATGCACATTTCTGGCTTTGGCTTTGGCTTTTTGCCCAGCATCATCTATGGTAAGTTCGAGAGCTTATGTTATTGTCAATGTAAAAGTGGTAGATAGCTGTTGATTTTTAAATCTGTTTTTCATCTATTTTTCTGAATATTGTTTTCATATCTCATGTTCTCAGCCTCCACCAGATACGTCTGGTAAGTACGGCAGTACAGTCACTGAAATAAATCAGTTGTAAAATTATTGTAATATGTTTAATATGTGTGTAGTGTAAAAGATCTGGTTTTGGCTGCTCATTACTGCCTGATGATATGATTAGCCATTCAACGTTTTACTTTCAGGATGTTTCACTAAAATTACATTTTTGTCTAGTATTCAATGCACACAATTCTGGTTCTCCCTCTGTCTTTTGTTTTCTTTATTATATTTGTCTCAAAGACATTAATGAGGATCGGAAGGATATTCCAGATATAAACAAAGGTAAAACTACTGTATTATCACAAAAACTCAAATACATTGCAGCAAGGCAACTAATATCTATTTTTGTTTATAAATCATTATTTTTTTACTCCTGTTTTATTCAAGCATATTCACTGTGAACTGAACTCTCTTGTGGTGTTAGGTTTAAATCTCAGAGAAGGAGACATCATGGTGGTGAGTTCCTTTCCAAGACATTCTATAATTACAATATTGGATAATTCAGAAATCAGCATTTATAGTCCTCCCAGGATATTTAAAACAATCTGCTTTAAAGCCTAATCAAAGGAGCGCCATTCTTGGGAATCAGTACCGGTGGAATATTCCCATCCCCTATGAGCTGAGTGTGAATCTCAGTAAGAAAACATGGATTTTCATGTCATGTCAACTTTTCATTTAGTATTTAAATTAACTTTCATGTTTTCCATGGCTATAGGTATGAACTATAAAGGAGTCATTTTGAGAGCCTTTGAGCAGTTCAGACTGAAATCATGTATTGAGTTTAAGCCCAGAACAGCAGAAGACATTTCTTACATCTCTGTGGAGAGTCGTGACGGGTACAGTATGGTTCCAGTTAGTAATCCAAATATAGACAGATATATATTTTTTCTGTTTGACAAATATAAACAATAAAGTTATAAAATAAACAAAAAAATGTTAATTTAAAGTTTTTGTTTTTATTGTTTTTAATAAACCACATATGTAGGAACTCCTACCCTGAAGCCCAAAATAGCTCTCTAGGCAAAAGAGTAGCTATTTTGAGGAATCTTAAATGAAAGATACTTTTGATTTAACCTTTGTTTTTGTTTTTTGTGTGTTATTTTACAGTGACATTTTTGTTATTCTAATATGTGGACTACTTAATTTGACTGTTAGTGTTGTTAACATAACCTTTATTCACCGTATGTGTTATGTGAATGTGCTCTCTCACTTGTTTTTCAGGTGTTGGTCATATATCGGTCACAGAGTTGCAGGAGCTCAGACTCTTTCCATTGGAGATAGTTGTGGAATAAAAGCATTTATTGAGCATTTGTTTCTCCATGCACTGGGATTTTTGCATGAGCACACAAGATATGACAGAGATGATTATGTGACCATCAACTTCAAAAACATCATTACAGGTTGCTCTATCATTTTTTTCAAAATCAATTTTTTTTTTATGAATTTGATTAATTTGCTTTACTGAACCTGACACCCATTGGAGATAGTTGTGGAATAAAAGCATTTATTGAGCATTTGTTTCTCCATGCACTGGGATTTTTGCATGAGCACACAAGATATGACAGAGATGATTATGTGACCATCAACTTCAAAAACATCATTACAGGTTGCTCTATCATTTTTTTCAAAATCAATTTTTTTTTATGAATTTGATTAATTTGCTTTACTGAACCTGACACTGAAGTGTCCATTCAACTTATAAGCACTTTCAGTAAATAACCAATTCCTTATGAAGATTAACCTTAATAAATGCATTAGTCTTTATTTTTAGGGTATGAGAGCAATTTCAATAAATACAGTGAGAATCTGACCACCACCCAAGACACCCCATACGACTACTACTCTGTGATGCATTATGATAAAGATGCCTTAAGCAACGGTAATGGATCCACAATCATTACTAAGCGTCCTGAGTTCCAAAATGTGATTGGTCAACTCCTGGACATGAGTGAATATGATGTGATTGAACTCAACAAACTCTATAAATGCAGTGAGTATTTCCCACATTGTTCTTTTTTTAGTTTGAATGTGTATTCTCTGCAGCATTACTGTGAACTTGTGGTTGTTAAATATCTCATTAGGACTGTGTCTGTTGTAAGAGAGACAGATGAATGGCAACTGTAATGATGTGCCATGTAAAAACGTAAACTTAATTTAATATAGCGTAATTTTGCAATAATGACTCAATAGTGACATTACATTATCTCTTACATATAGTATCAGAAATGCAGAATAATATTGTGCACAAAGACATGATCTTTTTTCCCTCATAAATGTTTGTTTGTTTGCATTACAGATTCGTCCATCTCTTTCCTTGATCACTGTAGTTTTGATAATGAATCTGTTCATGATGGATCTGTTCAGATGAGCGTCTGTTCTGCTGCTGATTATGGCTGGCAGAGAGTGAAGTCAGTGAGTGGCATCAGTGTGACTGACCACACATACTTGGGCAAAGAACAAAAGGGTGAGATCTGTTACAGTCAGTCTGTGAATGTGAAGTTTCTTTTTTGTCAGTGTGTGCTTTTTCACAGAAAGAGACTTTAGGATGCAAGATAATCTATATTTTTATTGCCCAAAAACTGCCTCACTTACAACCACAGTTGCAGTCACTGTACTATCCAGTTCCGCACAACTTCTGTATAAACCTGTTTTCATACCTGCAGGTGTGTCTTTCTTCATGCACTTCAGCACTAAGGGTAGAAATGAGGGGGACGCAGCCAGAATGGAGAGCAAGAAAATGACCCCCAAAAGAGACTGCAAAGTCCAGTGCCTGCAGTTCTACTACTATCACAGTGGTAATGAGTCTGACCAGCTCAACATCTGGATCCGAGAATACCAGAATGAAGCAGATAACAGAGGAACTCTCAGACTTATGGATCAGATCACAGGTCAGTCTCTTTCTCAAATACTTATAGGCCTGTACATCAAGATGTTCCTTACATTTTCCATGTTACTGACCATTAAATTTTTTGCAGAACCCCCTGGCAATTACTGGAAGCTGCATCATGTGCCACTGAATGCAAATAAAACCTTCCAAGTTGTATTTGAAGCCCGTAAAGGAGCTGGAAACTCCAGTGGAGGATTTTCACTGGATGATATCAATATTTCAGAGACTGAGTGTCCCCACACATGGCAGATAAGAAACTTTGAGAAGGTTTTGAAGTACAGTCTGCCTGGCACTTGGATGGACAGTCCGTTTTATTACTCCAGTGAGGGTTATCGCTTTCAGGCTCTCTTAATAGTGTATCAGAATTACCTTTCAATATATGTTGGTCTGGTATCCGGTGCATATGATGACCAGTTGAAGTGGCCTTGTCCATGGAGACAAATAACCTTCCAGATGCTTGACCAGAATCCACACATTCAGAAGCGCATGTCCTCTGAGAAAAGCTTCACGACTGACCCTACTTTGGCTTCTTCCTGTGAGATTCCGATTATTTTTCTCTCATATCATGTTACATGCAGCATTTTAGTTAACTGATGATCAAGGTTATTATTATATGTAGCTTTGAAGGGTCTAAAAGCCATATTTTGTTGTAACAGATGACAGTAATTACTGGGACAATCCTCGAAATAATGGAACTCGAGTTGTCATTGGCAATGAGACCGTATATTTGGGTATTTTTTGGGGCTATGAATATGCCATAATGAAAGAAGATCTCACTAAAAGAGAGTTTATCAAGGGTGGTGACATCATATTTCTCTTCACCATGCAAGGTAGGTTTTGTGCAGTACCTTCAGAAAGCAATTTTATCTTAAATAACACACTGTATTAGGAGTAAATTGGGCAGAATGAGAATGATGACGAGGATTCAAATTTGCAACTTGCAACTTTCTGAGAACATTTAGAGAACTGTTGTTTACAAATCCAGAATACTTTGTTGCAGATATCTCAGGGCTCCGTCAGAAGAACTCTCTACCCTGCCCTAAAGTGACAGTGAAGAACTTCAAGATTTCATCTGATGCAGCTGTCAAGCAGGGACCGTGTGCTACAAGGTGAATATTGTTTTAACTATTGTTAACACCATCTACACCAGACAATAAGCTGAAGACCCGCAGTGCCACACGTGACAGCAGTCTCAGACTGAAAGTTAGAGTGGAGATTATAAACTCACTGAGGTTAAGCTCAAAGTACATGATGGTCATACGTGTTTTGCAACGGTCTGTGCGCACTGTCCGTGTACAGCCCAATTTTTGTGTCCACCCAGACATAAGGTGAATGTTGAGACAAAAGTGTCCACTAAGTGATATTGTGCATGTGTCAAACTCGTCCATCCTCTCTCATCCATGGTTAAGTTTTTGAAAGCTGTGTGGAAGCAGCTGTGTGCAAGATGGAGTAAAACGAGGAAAATGAAGTATAACCAGGCCTTTACAGTTAGTGGTGGGGTGGAGCTTATAGTTGTAGTGAAGTTAGGGTTACTGCTGGGGGCGGGTTAGGTGATCGTCAAATTCTGGTCTGAGACTGCTGGCCTGAAATTACTGTCATAATGAAAGAAGAACTCACTAAAAGAAAGTTTATCAAGAGTGATGACATAATACTTCTCTTCAGCATGCAAGGTAGGTTTTGTGAAGTAATTTCGGAAAACAATTTTACCTTAAAAAACAAAACACTGTATTAAGAGTAAATTGGGCAGAATTAGAATGATGACAAGAATTTAAATTTGTGACTTGCGATTTTCTGAGAACATTTAGGGAACTGTTGTTTACAAATACAGAATATATTGTCATAAATATCTCAGGGCTACGTCAGAAGAATGCTCTACCCTGCCTAAAGTGAAGAATAAAATCAAAGAGAATGCATTATAAGTGTATAATATATACACTTATTATAATAAGTGTATGTGTTATAATATATACAGTGCACAGCATAAATGAGTACACCCCCTCTGAAACGTAACAAATTCAGCCATTACTCTTTGCTTAGAAGACATGTTATGGTTTTTTAGAGATATAATATTCCAGCAAGTCTGCTTGATCAGTTACCAAAGAAGAATGTTAAAATTATTCAAGAAAATACCATTGTCTTATCAAAGTGATAAAATGTTGTGTTGCAAAAAGGAGTACACCCTCCTGAAAGTTACTAAATAAAACAAAAAAAAAATAAAAATTCTGGTGTAAGGTTAAGGCAAATATTGATCAACAGGTAAGTATGTTGAACCAAAACTGTTAAAGGCAAGTAATTTCTTGATAATTCAGTGTTATATGGCCCACTGAATCATACTCAGACTTAACGCTGACAACAATGAAACCACTTGAGAGAGAACTGTCAATGCTACCCTCTTCTCATTCCCTGCATTGTTGGGCTTTTTTTTTTACATGACAGTGAAGATATTCATTCTCCTGAATTGAAAATCCTTCAGTGGACATGTATTTCACTCAATGTTAACACTCTTGAGCTGCTGTGAGAGATTCTGTAGAGACGAGTTGAGCAACACTCCCCATTAAAGACCAGGGCATTTAAGGAGGTCGTCCTCCAGGAGTTAAATAGGACAGATGTGAAAATTTGTCATGAACTTGTACACTCAGTGCCAAGAAGTGTCAGAGCAGTGTACTTAGAGATATGGAGGACATATTAAGTTCTAGAATATTACACTTGGTTGAATTAAATATAGGTTGTACTCAATTCGGCAATCCTTCATTTAAACAAAAATTGGCGAAGTTTCTTATTTTACAGATATTAATGGCATGTATTTCTCTGTTTTTATTAAGAATATGTTTAATACATTTCAATTTTGCCATCTTTCTATTAATTATATTAGAGATCATTAAGAAAATACATCTTTTATATTTAATCAGAGGGGGTGTACTCATTAATGCTGTGCACTGTACATTATAATATACGGTTGCTGCATACTAAAATATTAATGACGGACATTTTTATTAAAACATTATTTTATTAAGCAGCGTATTGCCATTCTCATAGGCCTACATTCTTACTATGAGATGTCATTTATAGGATGGGACATGCCTTTGTTTTTCCAGGTTTGTCCCCACTATCGCAGGGATGCTGGAGCCCCAGCATCTCGGGCCCAAGTTCCCTATTCAGTGAACTTAAAATGAAAACAAACATGCCCCCGCTCATTAAAAGTTTAATTGAAATGTTATCACATTAGGCAATTTCACTAACTGGCATCCTTCTGCTAGAATATATCTCTTTAATATTACAGAAGGTTGCTATGCAGCAAAAAATAATGATCAGCTATTGGCTCTGACTAATCAGTGGCCAGGGCCACAACTAGCTGTTTTATAATGGTACAATAGCAATTTACATTTCAAACCATACAGTATCAAAATATATGAGATGAAATTTATATTTTCTAGTACAGCTGACAGTGTATTAATATTTATATGTATATTTCTCTTCTTTTAGTGATTGTCTGGGCATATTTTGCACTTCCAGTACTTCCTCTCTGATCCTATTGGTGGTTTGCTTCCGTTTGCTGGTAAATGAATCCTGAGAGTTTCCCAGCTCCATGTCTGACTACATGAATTCAATTTAAAAGCAACTGCATCTGTCTTCAGCCTTCTGGTATATCATACTGTTAAACCTATATTTGAATCGAATTAGATGCTTACACAGAATACATGGTTATCTGTAATGAAGCAAAACATGTAAATTTTAGTCTACTGATTTCCATGATAAACTCTATTGTTACGTATGGTTCACACATTTTCTGAATAGGTTAAGTTAAATATATGAAATATTGCAATCATTGCATAAACATTATTGGTTGTAAGTTACTATACAAAATTTTAAATGTGGCTTTGCGCCCACAAGAACTATGTGAATGTCTTGCATGAATCACAAACCAATTTTGCAAATAATAACTTAATGTGACTAAATAATATGATTAAAATGTTCAAGAGTTTGAATGTGAATGTGGAGAAAATGCTGAAAGATCTAAGGATTTAAATTGTAGCAATCTGTGTGTAGCTTAATGAGAGAAACCATACATTTACATACAGATACTAAACCAGTTTTGTTTTTGTTTTTTTGTTAACGGATAATCATTTATCATGTCATTTAACCATTTGTTGATTTTTATTTTGATTATCTATGCTCTTGTAATGCTTGCTATTGCAGATTAATCTTATGATTATGTGGTTTCAAGTGATATTTGTCTTTGTGAGAGACAAAGTAAAGTCTCCATTTCAAGGTTTTTAACATCACATGATGGTGCTGTGAAGCGGTAATTTTCCATTGCATTAATTCAACGTGTTGAATTTGTTGTGGTCAGATGAAGTCCAGCTGAGCACTGAAACAGACAGAACTAAGATTATTCAATAAAACCTGCTCATTCAGATCACTTCATCTCCCTGTTCAAACTCCATCCACTGTCTGAGTTTATCATGAAAAGTAGCCTATGTGTCCTGGTTTGGCCTGCAAACCACCTGCAAGATTTTAGTGGCATCTGGTGGCGTATGGTGGAGCTGACAAGTGTTTGCAGGTGAACAAAAGGACAAACATTTATGATAGACACAAAAATAGTTTTGAACTTGCAAGTGTTTTACTTGGTTTTACTCTGGTACAGAATAATCTAGCATTAAACAGTTAATAAAGGCATAAAACACCTACATTACAAACAACAGCATGAAAAATCAGCAGATGGCAGTTGAGCGCTGATTCTGTTACAAACTACTCCAAAAAAATCATGAAGACCTTGAAAAACAGGAAGGTTAACTGAATAAGAACAAGAAATGGCTAAAATTCCAGGTGGTCACTTTTTATAGAATAAAGCATAGAAAATAATCATTTTCATAGAGAGCATTTTTAGCCATCTTACCTTGTTGGGGGAAAAAAAATTATATATAATTTTTTGTATTGACCAGTTTGTAATCTTGGCTCCCAGCCTGTTCAGATGGAATAGCTGGTAGACCAGCTGACAAGTGACCAAAACGCCTTTAAAACCAGCAAAGCAGACCAGCATGATCAGACTGGGAGAGCAGCTAAAACCAACTTCAAGCAATGCATTACATGAAAGCTTACCCAGACACAAAGGTCAGCATTTTGGTACATATCAGGCACAGATACTAGTCCATACAATACAGACTGATTTAAGTGAAATGTGCTGTTTGTGTTCTGTTGAATGCTCTTTAACTGCATATAAATTACATATTTCACATGTCCGCAAATGTTCAACAGTATCCCTGAGGATCATTTATGGGCTGCCATACCCAAACCTGTATGTGGGATCTCAGGTCGGCTGAGAAAACCCCCAGCTAGGTATGGATGAAGTGGGAATCTCCCTTCTCAACTTAAGTAGCCTCTCACTGCGCTGACCGTCAGTTTCTATGATGTTCTGTTCCTCAAGTGATTGGCGGATGAGAGACTTGAGCAAGGGCAGACCAAGGCCAGTTGTGGCAGAGACTGGGACAACGTGCGTGAAACGCATTAGGCTTTTAGGGATGACATCCTCAGGAAAGAGATGGCTTGATTCTAGGAAAGCACAGCATCACTTAAAAGAGTTATCAACTGAGGAACACGGCATGTACACAGCCATCAAGCTCAATGCAATGAAACAATCACATTAGGCCTGTACTTCAGCAAAATTTACTTGTGGCAGAAACTCGAGACTGCCATAATAGTCAATAAGAGTACAAATCACTGACCTCCCCACCAGGGAAAATTGCAGTACATATACAGTGGTGTGAAAAAGTGTTAGCCCCCTTCCTGATTTCTTATTTTTTTGCATGTTTGTCACCATCTGTTCGTGACCTCAAGCTGAAGCGAACTTGGGTTCTGCAGCAGGACAATGATCCAAAACACACCAGCAAGTCCACCTCTGAATGGCTGAAGAAAAACAAAATGAAGACTTGAGTGGCCTAGTCAAAGTCCTGACCTGAATCCTATTGAGATGCTGTGGCATGACCTTAAAAAGGCGGTTCATGCTCGAAAACCCTCCAATGTGGCTGAATTACAACAATTCTGCATAGATGAGTGGACCAAAATTCCTCCACAGCGCTGTAACAGACTCATTGCAAGTTATCGCAAACGCTTGACTGCAGTTGTTGCTGCTAAGGGTGGCCCAACCAGTTATTAGGTTTAGGGGGCAAACACTTTTTCACACAGGGCCATGTAGTTTTGGATTTTGTTTTCCCTTAATAATAAAAACCTTCATTTAAAAACTGCATGTTGTGTTCACTTGTGTTATCTTTTACTAATATTTAAATTTGTTTGATGATCTGAAACATTAAAGTGTGACAAACATGCAAAAAAATAAGAAATCAGGAAGGGGGCCAACACTTTTTCACACCACTGTATTTGTGTAAAACATGGCCGATTTAGCAGATTTAATAAACCGCTCTCTGACTGCTTTTTAAACACAATGGGTATGTTGAACTGATATCAATCTGCATATGTGATGGACATTGGTTATGACCATCTATGGTATCTTCTTTGAAAGCATCTTGAGTAATACAAGTACATACAAAAGATCTGAACCCGGAAGCAATGTGACCCATTTTAGAGAATACGGAAGTTTGTTGCACATAACCCCTATTGTATGAAACAATAATGCAACCACTCGATTGATAAAACCATCTGCTGTTGTGATATGAAACTTCTGTAATGCACCCACTGTAAGTCTAAAGGCAATTTGTGACTAATATGCTTGAATGGCCTATTTAATAAATAGCCCCTAAATTGCCCATTTGCTTCTAATAAAACCTACCTTCCTGGTTCTCTAAGTGAGTTTCCAGTTCTCGGAGACGGCCCTGAGCCTCGGGGAGGTCCATCTTATTTATGACCAGGATCGCTGGCTTCCCTAACAGTTCCTCATTATACAACTCCAGTTCCTGATTAACAGAGAAAATCAAGAGCACTTTATATAGTACAATCATATATGCAGAAGCATTTCATTCAGAAAAGCAGTTTATTTTCTTTTTCTTTTACATAGAGCTCACGTGTCAAATATACATATATATACAGTGGGTACGGAAAGTATTCAGACCCCGTCAATATGGGGTGCTGTGTGTACATTAATGAGGAAAAAAAATGAACTTAAATGATTTTAGCAAATGGCTGCAATATAACAAAGAGTGAAAAATTGAAGGGGGTCTGAATACTTTCCGTACCCACTGTATATATATATATATGTGTGTGTGTGTGTTCAAAACACATTACCGTTCAAAAGTTTGGGGTCAGAATTTTTTTTTATGTCTTTGAATGAAGTTTTATGCTCACTAACGCTGCATTTATTTGATAAAAAATACAGAAAAATCATAAATATTGTAAAATATTTTTACAATTAAAAATAACTTTTCTATTTAAATATTTTTTTAAATGTAGTTTCTTCCTGCGATGGTGAAGCTGACATTTCAGCAGCCATTACTCCAGTCTTTATTGTCCCATGATCCTTCAGAAATTAAAATTCTTCAGAAATCATTCTAACATGCTGATTTGGTGCTGTGCTCAAGAAACATTTCTTAATATTTGATCCTTTGATCAATTAATGCATCCTTTCAGAATCAGTAGTGTATATTATTACCTTGTTTAAAAGCAGCACGGTTTCAAATGCAGACCTAAACGGGGTGTTACTAGCTAGCTGAAACCCACAGATGTCGACCTGAAACATCAGAACATGACATTACTATTCAACTCTCACAGTCACTAACATTCAAGTTCACGTAACAGACAAAACTCAGTACCACAAACATGAGCTGCTTGGTTCTCTCCACATGCTTGAGAAACTTGTGTCCCATGCCTTTATTTACGTGAGCACCTTCAATGAGTCCTGGTAAGTCTGCTACTGAAACCTCCAGAGAAAAACAAACTTCTGTAACTCACTCTGGCATCAGTCTGAAAAAGTGTGTATTATGTAATATAAAATTATATTTGCTGAAGGTTTGTTCAATAAAAATGTATATTTTATGTATGTACATATTGTATATTGCATATAACTGTATTGTAAATTTTGGTTTAATTATCAGACTATTTTATGGGAGAAGGTCAAAACCAAGCTTGTTAAGCAGCATACAGTATAAGTCCTATTATTTTATTTTATTATACTATTATAGAGCCTGTCATCCTACCTGCTTGTGGTCATCATACATAACCTTTCCAATTTCAGGTCTTAAAGTTGTAACTGCGGAAGTAAAATAAAGGAAAGTAACAAGGGATTATTGTAAAAGTGGCAATAAAGTGGCAGTTTTATACGCACACGTATATATATATATATATATATATATATATATATATACACATACACGTGTGTGTGTGTGTATATATATATCTATATATACAGTATAAACTCACTACGTTGGTTTAACAAATTTGTAAATGATTATCAGTTCTTACAGGGGTAGCTGGCAATCCTTGGTTTAGCATGCGACAAGGCAGTCAGCAAGGAGGATTTGCCTGCATTGGGAAACCTATAAAAAAAATTTGGCGTGTGTGAAATACACATTAATGGAAAGAGAAAACAATGAAACAAGAAGGGTCACAATTATGACACTTAGCAGCTTTACTTTTGCAAAACAAAACATAATAATAAAAGTTTTTATGTACCAAATATAGTTTATTCATTATGTATTTTTGTTTTATGCATTATTTTGGTCATTATTCCTAGATCATTTTTAGCTCTTCATGTGCTTTACCTTGTAATTTTATACCCTTTTTTTGTTTGAGAGCAATACTTTTCCAGTCCACATTC